GATGAATGTCCACTGAAATTCATTTTTCCTAAACAATGATCATGAAATGCTTCAGTCCATATATTGTATTTTTCTATGACTATTCAGTCAGTATATTCACACCAAGGATCACTGCTGCTCTCAAGAGCATGCCTTGTATATACTGTTTTATTCATTTTATGATTTTTTAAAATTTCTTAGGCATGCTTTAATTACTAGAAAAAAAATAGTTTCCCTATTTAAAAAAAAAGAAACTGATATTTTAAAAGTAGGGATTAAATAAACTGTGCAAGTAGATTAATTTGTAACTCTATATTGGATCATGTTTGCTATGTCTACTGGAACAAGTGAAAACTCATGGAATATGAACTAAAGCTAAAGAGATTATTATGTATTCATGACAGATTTATTTGAATTTACTTTCTTTAGCTCACCAAGAGAACTTCTAAATATATTTCTTAGAGGTTTTTTTTTTTTTAATTCTTACAAAACCCTATATAAAATACATTTCTAAATAGTGATATATACTAGTGGAAGAGGGGCAAGATGGCAAAGAAGTAGGAGACCCTGTTTCAACCAATTCCCTAAAGTGAGCTAAATAAATATCTACCAGAACACTCTAAACACCCATGAAATCAGCTTGAGATGTAAGATTATGCACTTCTAGATCTCTACGGGGGCAGAAGATCATCAGTGGAGAGGTAAAGTGGAGTGGGAACGCTCAGACTGATATTGGAGGATAAACAGAAGGAGAGGGAGCCACCAGAAGCAACCCATTGGGACGTAATACCCCAATACGAAAGTGCCCTGTGATTGGGGACAAGCATTATCTTGGAGACTGGTTAAAAGCACTCAAAAAGAACAAAAGATCTTAAGGGGCAACTGGTGGAATTGGGTGGTCACCAGCTCAGGGCTAAGCCCACAGTCCCAGGACAGTTACCACAGGCGACTACCTGTACCAGAGAGAGCCCGGCGGGGGGGTCCAGTCTGTGGTCACCGAGCCCCAGGCTTTCTACTGCTTGCACCACCACTCAGTGCTGGGCACACTCCCACCCATTCTTGAGATAGCCTGGTATGGGCGTCAGCCTGCGGTCTCTGGGCCAGCAGCCTTCCTTGACCTGTACAACCACAGGGTTTGAGCGCACTCAGCCTGTACCTGAAAGAACCAGGTGCAGTCTCAGGTGGTGGTCCCTTGGTCCACAGCCTTCTGTAACCTATGATTCTGCCAGGTGTGAGTCCACTGGACATGGGTGTGGACCCCAGAGAGCAGTTCCAGCAACGGCAGCCACCCAGGTTCGGGTACACCCAGACCAATAACACTCATGGTTTTACTGGCTCAGGGGTGCAGAGACAAGTGGGGCCCAGGCAATCACTGAGACAATGGCTGGGGTGCACACTGCCTGTGGGAGGCTTCGGTGTTCAGTAGAGTTTGCAGAAGGGAGCCCATCTGTTCTGGACCTCCCAGACAGGAGGAGACTGAGGCTTCTCTCTGAGATAGAGGTCTGGATGTGGAGTTTGCTTTCTACTAAACTTCTGAAAAGCCACAAAAAGCCACCAAAGAACAAAAACCTCCAGAGAACAAAAGTCTGAAAAACTGGTTTCCGAAGAGCCAAGCCCCTTGATGGGGGCAGAGCGACTCAGCCCAAGCAGGACTGACTGAAAAACAACATGGCATGCCCCTCCCCAAAAAGAGAAGCCAAAAGAACAAGATGAAAACCACCACAGGGTCCCCATAAAAACATAAAACCCCAACATCAGGGGAAAACAGTATACTAAGCTTCCGGTATTACTCCAAAACCTGTATATTTCATCGATACAACATTTCTTTCTTTCTTTCTTTCTTTCTTTCTTTCTTTCTTTCTTTCTTTCTTTCTTTCTTTTTTTTTATCCACTCTCACAATTCTTGTTCTTTTATTTTTTTTTAAACTACTTACCATTACAAATAAAGGTTTAATACAACATATTCCATAATAACTTTTTAACTTGAACTTCTTTCATACATATACCTGTTTTCTTTTTCTTTCTTTCTTTTTTTTTTTTAATACATATAGATATAAGCTTCAAGGTAGTCCTTTTTCCCTATTCAATACTGCCCCTATATAGAAACCAGTTTTAATTTCCCTCTATCTCTGGAATATTGAGTCCTTTAACAAAGATAACAAGATTCACCCAGGAAGAACCAAAATAACCTTCCTCACCCACATTGAGGGGTTATAACCATCTTCCCATCATATTCTTCTGTTAGTGTTTCTGTGTATTTGTTTTTGTTTTTGTACTATATAAATCTTATTCTTGGGATTCATTTTGGCAGGGTTTTCTTTTTTTTTTTTCTTGTCTTTAACTTTGTCTTTTTGTTTGTTTGTCTTTGTTTATATACCTTATAAAAATCTTACTTTGGGGGCTCATTTTCCCTGGGTTTTCTCTTTTTTTTTCCTCTCTATTTCTCTCTTTTTTCTTTCTTTTTGGTGGTGACTTCAGATTGCTCTGAAACTTTCCAGGATGCACCTTGCCCAGATTGTGGTTGATATATTCAGCTATACATCTCCTCAATGACCTCTCACCAAAATGACAAGGAGGAGGAATAACCAACAGAGGAAAAATCCAAAGACTGTGTCCTCGTCATCAGAACTATTGGATATGGACATAAACAGTATGTCAGAAAGAGAATTCAGGGTAACAATTATCCAGGCAATGGCTAGGTTGGAGAAGACCATTAGTGGCAACATAGAAACTCTAAAGACAGAAGTTAGGGCTGACCTGGCAGTACTATAAAAAGTTATCAGTGAGATCCACTCTAATCTAAATACTCTAACAGCTAGAGTAACTGAGCAGAAGATAGAATTAGTGTTCTAGAAGACAAACTGATAGAAAAGAAGGATCAGGAGGAGGTCTGGAACAAACAGTTTAGAAGCCATGAAAACAGAATTAGGGAAATAAATGATGCCATGAAACATCCAACTTCAGAATTATTGAGAGGGTTGAGAAAGAAAGAAGACTAGAAGATATAGTTGAACAAATTCTGGATGAAAATTTCCCTAGTATGGGGAATGGAACAAGTGTTTGTGTCCCATAGGCAGAAAGGACACCCCCCAAGAGCAATGAATCTAGAAAGACCTCCAGACATTTAACTGTGAAATTCACAAATCATAATTTTAGATAAGAGGTCCTAAGGGCAGCTAGGAAGAAGAGATTCCTAACATATAGAGAAAGGTCCATCAGAATAACATCAGACCTGTTCACAGAAAATTGTCAAGCCAGAAAGGGCTGACAAAACATATTCAGGGCACTAAATGAGAAGAACACACAGCCAAGAATACGTTACCCAGAAAGGCTGACACTCAAAATGGATGAAGAGATAAAGAGCTTCCACGACTGGCAAGGTTTAAAATATGTGACCACAAAGCCAGCACTACAAGAAATACAAGGGGATTCTATAAAAGAAGAAAGAATCCAAGAGTAATGTAGAACAGAAATTTACAGAGACAATCTATAGAAACAAGGACTTCTCAGGCAACATGATGTCAATAAAAACTTACCTTTCAATAATCACTCTCAAAGTGAATGGCCTAAATGCTCCCCAAAAATGGCACAGGGTTGCAGACTAGATAAAATGACAGGATCAATCCATATGCTGTCTACAAGAGACACATTTGGAACCTAAAAATACATCCAGACTGAAAGTGAAGGTATGGAGAACTATCTTTCATGCCAGCGGGCCTAAAAAGAAAGCTGGGGTAGCAATCTTCATATCAGATAAATTATATTTTAAACTAAAGAGTGTAGTCAGAGATACAGAAGGACATTACATCATTCTTAAAGGTTCTATCTACCAAGAAGATCTAACAATTGTAAATATTTATGCCTCCAGTATGGGAGCAGCCAACTACATAAGCCAACTGTTAATCAAAATAAAGTCATATTGATATGAACACATTAATTGTAGAGGATCTTAACATGCCACTTTCAGCAATAGACAGATCATCTAAGTAGAAAATCAATAAATAAACAAGAGCTTTGAATGACACATTGGACCAGATGGACCTCATAGATATATACTGAACATTCCACCCTAAAACAACAGAATACTCATTCTTCTCAAGTGCACATGGAACTTTCTCCAGAATAGACCACATACTGGGTCACAAATCAGGGCTCAACCAATACCAAAAGATTCAGATTATTCCCTACATACTCTAAGACCACAATGTTTTGAAACTGGAACTCAACCACAAGAAAAAGTTTGGAAGTTTGGAAGTTTGGAAGGAATTCAAACACTTGGAAGCTAAAGAGCACCTTGATTAAGAATATTTGGATCAACCAAGAAATCAAAGAAGAACTTAAACAATTCATAGAAACCAATGAGAATGAAGACACATCTGTCCAAAACCAATGGGATATGGGAAAGGCAGTCCTAAGGGGGAAATACGTAGCCAACCAAGTCTTACTAAAAAAAAAAAAAAACAAAAAAAAAAAAAAAAAACTGAAAAATCCTGAATACACCAACTCTCTTTATACCTTAAAAAACTGGAAAATCAACAACAAATTAAGCCAACCCCATGCATGGGAAGGGAATTAATTAAGATTATAGTAGAGATAAATGAGTTAGAAACTGGAGATACAGTAGAACACATCAACGAAACTAGAAGCTAGTTCTTTGAAAGAAGTAATAAGATTGATAAACCACTGGCCAAACTAATCCAAAAGAAAAGAGAGAGGACCCAAATTAATAAAATTATGAATGAAAGGAGAGAAATCATGGCTAACACCAAGGAAATGGAAACAATAATCAAAATTATTATCAGCTGTATGCCAACAAGTTAAGCAACTTAGAAGAAATGGAAGCATTCCTGGAAACTATAAACTTCCAAGACTGAAACAGGAAGAAATTGACAACCTGAATAGACCAATATCTAGTAACAATATTGAAGAAGTGATCAAAAACCTCCCAAAAAACAAGAGCTGAGGGCCTGATGGATTCCCTGGGGAATTTTATCAAACATTCAAAGAAGAAATAATACCTATTCTCCTGAAGCTGTTTCAAAAAATAAAAACAGAAGGAAAAATTCCAACTCTTTGTATGAAGCCAGTGTTACCCTAATCCCTAAACCAGGCAAAGACCCCATCAAAAAGGAGAACTTCAGACCAATATCCCTGGTGAATATGGATGCCAAGATTCTTAACAAGATTCTAGCTAACAGGATCCAACAGTTCATTAAAAAGATTATCCACCATGACCAGGTAGGATTTATCCCTGGGATGCAAGGGTGGTTCAATATTTGCAAGTCAATCAATGTGATAGAATAAATCAATAAGAGAAGAGAGAAGGACCACATGGTCCTCTCAATTGATGCAGAAAAAACTTGACAAAATACAGCATCCATTCCTGATTAAAACTCTTCAGAATGTAGGGATAGAGGGAATGTTCCCCAACTTCATAAAATTATTTATGAAAAACCCACATCGAATATCACCCTCAATTCCCTTTGAGATCAGGAACATGACAAGGATGTCCACTCTCACCACTGTTGTTCAACATAGTACTATAAGTCCTAGCAACAGCAATCAGACAAGAGAAAGAAATAGAAGGTATTCAAACTGGCAAAGAAGAAGTCAAACTCTCTCTTTTCGCAGATGACATGATACTTTATGTGGAAAATGCAAAAAACTCCACTCCCAAACTACTAGAACTCATACAGCAATTCAGTAATATGGCAGGATACAAAATCAATGTACAGAAACATCTTATCCACCATGACCAGGTTGGATTTATCCCTGGGATGCAAAGGTGGTTCAATATCTGCAAGCCAATCAATGTGATAGAGAGAGTTTGACTTCTTCTTTGCCGTTTTTAATCTCAATGTGGTTTTGAACCCCACTTGCATAAATAAGTGTTATATTAATTTAGCAAATGTCTTACTCATAACATTAGTGACTGCTATATTTACTATGCAACTAGTTAGACAATAAGCTTTATAGTTTACCTTTAAAAAAAAAGATTTATTTATTTTAGAGAGAGGGAGAAAGGGCAGAGGGAGAGGGAGAGAGAATCTCAAGCAGACTCTGAACTGTGTACCCTGCCTTACTCCAGGCTCAATCTCACAACCCTGAGATCATGACCTGAGCAGAAATCAAGAGTGGGAGGCTTAGCCAACAGAGCCACCAAGGTACTCCTATTTTGCTTTTTAATTACGATATAGACACTAAAGGAAATATTTAAAATGCAGAGGTGTAAGGAAAAAAAAAGATTACACATAGTTTCTCCACATCTTTAATTTATATATTTACCTTAGTTTCTTTATTCAACACATAGTTATAAATATGTTTCATATATAATATTGTCTACATTTCAATTTAAAATTTCATTTACCTCCATGATTTATAATTTAATTGGAAATAGATATCTAAATCAATGGACTGTAAATAATTGAACATCTTTCATTCGACAGTTTATCACAAAAAGTAAAACATTAAAAACAGAATCAAATGCCCAGAATTAAATGTCAATAACCATTCATATTCCTCTGCTCTTTTTTTCTTACTGAACACAGACTAACCAAATCTAATTGGGGAATATGCATGCATTAGATATACTAATTTAAAATCTGACTTTGATTAAACATTTCTAATACTTTCTCAATATTTAATTTTCCATGTCCATTTTGTCCTAATTTTAATTTTATTTTTCACACTGTATGTATTTTTATAATCTTAGTTTTATTATTTCTGGTAAAAGGAATGCATACATAGGGTTTTTCTTTTCTGTTAAATTCTTGATTTGGTGTTAAATATGAAAAACCTGGAAGGGGCAATTAAAATTATTTCAGTGATTATGCTTCCTTCCAAGGAACTGTTAATTTATTAACTTGATTTAAAAATGTATTCCTAATCTAAGCAGTAACAAATTATCTGTATTATTTTCAACACAAAACTCTAAGGAGCTGTTTTGTTTTGGGGAGATGTGGTCATTGTTTTTTGTTTGATTTTGTTTTTGTAATCCAGTCTAATGCAGTGTAAATAAGGTAATGATTTATATACTTCTTTTTGAGTGAGTATTTCTTCCAGGATTGGCTCTATTCCCCATTCCTTTAAGGTTTTCCTTTCAATATCAAGAATTTATCCATCAACCTCTACATTGAACCCTATAGGGCAATATCAAGTCATGTTTAAATTATCTTTTCCTTTCTTCTTAAAACACAAATATCTATTGAGATCACTAGTGAAGATAAAGAATAATGTGTTAACAAATTAGATCAATTTAAATGAAAATTTATTGTTTGAGAAAGAAATGTTTCAAAAGATTTTGTGAAAAAAAATTCCACTTTGCTGAGAATCTTTCTTTTTTTTGTATCAGATTTTAATATTTCCATTCTAAATGGAACTGCCTACCACAAAAGTTAATAGTGGCAATGTGTCTTATCAGTCTCTTCCCTACCATACTTTAGTCAGGTTGTGTATCAAGTATAACACGTTTCAAGGAACAGAACCCCACCTCTGGCCACATGTAGTAAAGAATTTAATTTTGCCTAAAGGGAGGTCTGGACTTTGTTCTTGAGTTCTGGTAGGTAGTATTAAGTTCTTGGAATGTAATTCCTTATAGAAGTGTCTTTGTTTGTCTTTGTACCTTGGGTCATACCAAATGATCTAGCAATGTGAGTTAGGGTGGGGGCTGGCATACCAGATAGTCTAAGAATGTGAGTTAGGGTGGTGTTTTTAAGTCTATGAGATCAGTTTAACCTCTGGAGGGGCTGGAGATGGATAGTAACCACATGGGAAGTCAGCTATGTCGAAATAATGCCTCTATGCCTCCAACTATGTCGAAATAATGCCTCTATGCCTCAATAAAATCTCTGGACATCCAGGCTCAAGTGAGCTTCCCTGATGAGCAATAAAATATTCTATGCATATTCCCACACATCATCACTAGGAAAAGTGGCACTCTCCATGATTCCAATGGAAGGGGACAACAGGGAGCTCCAGACCTGGAAACACCTGGACTCTGCTCCATGGCTCTATTCCCTGGGCTGATTTTAACCTGCCTCTTTTCACTGTGATAAACTGTGAGTATAAAAGCTTTCAGTGAGTTTAGCAAGTCGTCTACTGAATTATTAAACATGATATTGGTGGGGACTCCTAAACATGTAATTTGTGTTAGTGGTGGGGGTACCTTGGGAGCCCCAAACTTATAATTGGTGTCAGAAATAAAAGGGGTCTTTTGGACAGCCCTCTAAGTTTGTACTCTCTCAAAAAACTGATTTAAACAAGATTTAATATTAGCAAATATTAATGAAAAACTCAAAACAAAGGGAATTTCAGTTTATTTTGTTCAATAATGGCACCAAAGACGTTCTCCCCCCATATTTCCACTTTGTCGCCAATTTATCAGCTTCACTCTAAGCCTGAATTTTTTCTCATGATGGCAAGATCACTGAAAATACCTTCATATGGATCCAGAAAGAAGGAAAGTCTTTTCTTCCCCATAATTGGATTCTTAACCACAAACAAAAATCTGATTATACTGACTTCTTATGAAAATAAAAATCACTGTGGCCAGAAAAGGACCTACCCTTACCAGTTTAGACCAATTGGATCTGTAGCTAAAATAAATTGTGGGATCAGTCCCATGGAAATCTCAGAATTGCCACACAGAGGCAATGAATATATGAGAAGGCTGCAGTGAATATATGAGAGCTGACTACAATGTCCACTGTAGAATCCCGTTATTTACCAGAAACTGGCTTATGAACAAGGGTAGTTAGCTTTCATGCTAGTAAACTTCCACTTCCAGGCACAAGCTCTATGTCATTTAGGATGTAATTCAGAATGTCACAATAAGTAAGGTCTTAATAAGTAAGTTCTGGAAATAACTAAAATGTAACCGTAAGGAAAGCCAAGCAAGTAAAAACCTAGAAACATCATTTTCAGAAAAATCCTAGAGATGTAAGATACCAGATTCCGAAAATTCTTAGAAGGGCTACCAAACCTGAGATCAGGCAGAATTTATACAAAAATAAATGAGAAGAAAACTAGAAAGAGTACTAAAAGTCCACAGCAGTGGATGGAACTAGAGGTTTTAATGATAAGTGAAATAAGACTGAGGAAGACAAATGCCATATGATTTCACTCATAATCTAAAAAAATAGATCTAAATCTAAAACTAGATTTAATATTAATAAAATATTCTAAATATATAAATATATATAAAATATTATAAATATATATAATGAAATAGATTTAATATTAATAAAAATAGATCTAAATCTAAATCTAAAAAAATAAAATACAATAAAATAAACAAACAAGCAAAAAGCAGACTCAGACCTGTAAGTATAGAGAAGAAACTGATGGTTTCATGGAACGGAGGATGGGTTTGGGGATGGGTTCTGGGGATGGGCAAAATGGGTGAAGGGAAGTGGGAGATACAGGCTTCCAGTTATGGAAAGAGTAAGTCACAGGAATAAAAGCACAGCATAGGGAATACAGTCAGTAATATTATAATAGTGTTGTATGGTGACAGATGGAAGCTACGTTATGGTGAACATAGCATAATGAATAGAGAAGTTGAATCAGTATGTTGTACACCTGAAACTAATGTAACAGCGTGTGTCAACTATAATCAAGGAATTTTTTTGAAGTAATGGAAAAATATAATTCCTAAAGTTGAGGGGTTTTCTTTGAAATGCATAAGCTACGTCCTATAAATAGGAGCAATTTTCAGGATTGACAAACTGTTTCAGAGTACACATAAAAAAGAAAAACTTCTCAATCATTTTTAAAATATAAGTTTAACATTGACCCTAAACCTTAAAAATTATATTATTAAAATGTAAGCCACTTTGATTTATGAATGTTACTGTAAAAATCCTAACTAACATATTAGCAAACGGTATCATGAGGTAATGAGGGTACACTAAAAGCATTCATACTGAAACTAGAAATAGGTCAAAATGTTTAGTATCAGCATTATTATTTTTACATTTCCTATAGGCATTAGCTTACACTTACAAAACAGATAAATTAATGATATAAAAATCGACATATATATACTTTTATACATATATATGTATATAATGTATAATATATATGTATATATGCATAATATATATTATATACTATACATACATACTTTATTTATATTTATATATACATATATACTTTTATACGACATATATACTTTTATACACACAAACATATACATATACATGTATACATTTATACACACAAATATATATAATATACATACACACATATAATAACTAATCATAACATATAATGAAAGTAATAACTTTCTATAACAGAAAAGAAAAAATATAACTAAGGATAAATTTAATAAGAAATGTGTAATATCTATATGAAGAAAATTTTCAAAGAGTATGAAAAGACACAAAAGAATATTGGAACATAATGAAAGATGCACTATGTTCTTGGGAGGGAAAAGACTAACATAGTGAAAGCATCCTTTCAATGTAAATTAAAAACAGATTTAACATGACACCAATAAAACTAACAGAAGGTTGGTTCTTTTTTTGATTTATTTAACTAGATGTGCTGATTTGTAAATTAATTAAAAAATAAAAGCAAAATAGCCAGAAAAATAGTGAAAAAGAAAACAATATAGGCAGGTTATTTTTGCTAGATATTAAAAACTATTATAATAATTAATAATTAATTAATAATAAGTAATTAGAAAGTTAAAGAACTCCAAATTCAAAAATTGCTGTGTTCTTAAACACACACAAATAATAATTTATTAAATGATAAAGGTAGTGTCTTAACCTAATGGTATGTCCTACACTTTATTATGTATTTATTTTAAAGATTTTATTTATTTATTTGACAGAGAAAGAGAGAAAGTGTGAGAGTGAGTGCACTAGCAGGGGGAGCAGCAGGCAGAGGGAGAAGGAGAAGCAGGCTGAGCAGGGAGCTCAACATTGGGCTGGATCCCAGGACCCTGGAATCATGACCTGAGCAGAAGGCAGCTGCTGCCTTCTGCCCAGGTCAACTGACTGAGCCACCCAGGTGCCCCTGTCTTACACTTTAAATAGCATATTAGCAATTCATTTTTCTACTCCATAGTATTCTTTCTCTAGACAAAAAGATTTCTGAATCGGGCAGAGTTTTAGAAAAGCCTGGAAAATTAATACAGAAAGACATAGGAGTAAACCTGAAGGGTGGCCTAGTAAGCTAAATTGAAAGTCTCCCCATGAACACTGCATTCCTCATTGGAACAGCAAAAAAATACAGCTATGGAACTTTGCCTCCTTAAGATACTGCTAAAATTCACATAAAAATGATGCTTATTTTATGAGTCCATATCGGACCCAATACATATGGTGGGTTAGGGTACACAAAGTTACACAGCTGTAAAAGTCTTACCCATCTCTGGACTTCAAGTGTTTTTTCCCCCCATTTCCCATTTTCTACAAGTTGAAATATCCAACCGCCACCACTTGGTGTTTGCCTCAGAATTATTAGATCATTTTCCCCCAAGATTTGTCATCCTTATACTCAACAATCGTTATGAGGAAAGGCAATATTTAAATCCCCATATTATAAAAGAGTACACAGAAGCAGCACTAAGAGCAAATAAATTCTTAGGATTCACTCATTGAAAGCTTTTCATAACATAGACACTTTCCAAACAACCTGTATGATTGACTCCAGAGTATGTATTTTCACCCCTTCATCTTGTTTACCTATTTTATTCTGAATTGTAGTTGAGAGTGCAGAAGTGTACCACAATGAGCTTTGGAATCATTTTGGCCTGAGTACCAACCCTGTGACATAATCTATGAGCAAAATGTGGGCAAGCACCTTGACTCTTCTGACCCTCAATTTCCTCATTTGTTAAATGTGGATAATAATATTTATTATGGAATTGTTTTAAAGATTGAATAAAATAATGTATATAAAATGTGTAATTCATTGCTGTAACTCAATAAATGCAATTATTACAAAGTGATCCAAGCCCAAGTGTAAAGGCATATTTCACAGGCAGCTTGTGAGTCAATAATAGGCCTTTCTCAAATATGAGAGCTGGGATCTTGAAAAATTACTAACATATAATGATAGTGGAGGTATTTAAGATCTTATAGAGAAAATTGAGTTTGGGGACTGTGATAATGAGAAAATCCATACAAAAACCCTTTTATCGTTATTTTTACACTAAAAAAAAAAAAATAAAGGCAGCTTGTTCAGTAAAATGCTATGAATGATGCTTTTATACACCCTAAATTGTTAATGTAATTAATTGCCATTTATCATTCCTCAACTGCTAAAGTTGCCTTAATCTCCTCCTTTTATAATTCAAAAGAGATTTTAAACACTCACTTTCTGAAGTTTCAGAGAAGGTGCATATTAAGAGATTCTCCCCACCCCATATTTGGTTCTTGATATGTTCACAGCCTCTCTGATTTTATGATTCATGGTTCTTGAATCCTGTGTCCTGAGTTCTGTCACAATCCAGGAGCAATATGATTTGCATGGTTGAGATAAAACGAAACACAAAAACAGCAACGATGACAATTTGGAGTTATTTTAAATTAGCATATTTGGAATAACCAATACATTTTTCTAAAGTTTGCTATGTGATAATAGGTTATGTAATTATAGTACATGCCTTCTGACCCTCTTAAAATTTGATTTATCTTCTTCAACTTTTAATAGATGTGGGAATATAGTTTGAATGCCCTGGTTATTTTTCCTTCACTTTCTTATCTCTCTAAAGGCACAATACTACTGCTCTGTGTTTTACCTTTTACATTTACAGCCACATTTTTAATTGGCCAAATATGAGTGAGTCACAAGTCAAAGTAGGAATTCTGGAATAAAAATTCTCCCAGGTGCTCTGAAAGATTATAGAATTAAACTTTCTATGTATATTTACACAGTCACTATATCTGTATTCTCTGCACATTTTGTGTATATGCTAAAATTCTTCCTCGGCATAATTCTCAGTGCAGGAAGTATTACTAAAGCCCCAAGGTTTTTTGAAGGGCATTTCAATATATTTGTTTAATAATGCAATTAAGTTCAGTTGGTAATAATTACAAAGGAAGAATTTAGAATCGGAAAGAGAAAAGGAAGCTAAACGTGATAGGAGAAGGCGGCATAATACTCTTGGAATGTAGCTAATAATGCCCATTGGGTAACAGGGCATTTCAAAGTTACAGGTTTTTTTAGCCTGAAGCTTGTGGAAATTTTGAAAAAAGGGCCTGAGTAAAGAATACAAATGTCACAATGACCATTCTCTAAATAGCAGGGATTAGCACAACTTTCCTTACCAAGAAAAAACAAAACATCTAAGTCCCTTTGTCTGGCAAATTACACTACATTGTAGCAGGATTCATTAGAAATGTTTTCAGTGGCTAGAAAGAATAATCCTGTATTTACCAGATAATCATGTGATAGATAGGGTTTGACCAACCATATGTAGTTGAAGTCCTATGCAAGGAGTCTGGTTCCTGGTTCAAAACCTTCCAGTAACTTCTCAGGCCTGAGCATAAGCAATTAGTGTGGCTTTTTCTGTCAGGCCTCAAAGGGAAAGCTGCCCTCACCACAAGAGACTTGGTGCACAGTCAGTGCACTGCAGTCACTGAGGGGTTTCCATGAAGGGGACCCCAGCCCCCTTGTCAGTCATGCTCTTTGAATTTTTAATTCTTAGCCCAGCTGCCTTTATGCTTAGACCTCTTTAACTGAGACTTTGGGTACAGGTCCTCTTAGGAGCCTAGGCTGAGGCCTCCTTGGGGCAACAATGGGGGGGAGGGGGAGAGATAGGAAAGAGAAAAAAGGAAACATGAAGACACTTTTCCTCACTCTGAATGCCCAAGATTTTCCACTCCTAGCCCATCTTTCTTGCCCTCTTCTTGACCCCAAGGTCCATAAAACTACCCAAGTTTTTTGTTCTGGGCTCCCTCAACAGTGAAACTACCTCCACATCTATGCTGACTCCCCTAACCCTTGACCAGTGTACCCTTCCATGGGGGAAAATGGCAGAGGGGGGAGTCAATTTCTCCATGGGCTTAAAACTCTTGCTTATATTACCACAGTAAGTGATTAAAGGCTTAAGTCTTTCATTTGTAGCTTGTTGCTTTAATTGGCTACTCCAACAGCTAATAGTGCAGCCCTGTCTTTCTCATCTTAACTAAGCTACTGACAATATGTTAACATAAGAATCTAAAATATTACTCAATGACCTTGTTTTTTTTTCCCAACACAGAAATACAGTTAACCTCTCAAAATGATGTCTAATTTCTCACAAGAAGTGTTACACATATTGAAAAAACAAATACTGAGAAAAAAAGACATTATTTAGGTTACTTTTACAGCATCAACAAGAAGTGTTCATTAATTTGTCATCTGAGGAAACCCACAGAGTCTTCATCATAATAAAGTTATTTTGTTCTACTCAACAGAGCTTTCATATAAGATCTTACTTAATTTTAGGATTCCTAAACATGATGAATATTAATTTGCAGAATCTCGTTACTCTCCAGAGTTATATATAACAAATTCTAAGGCAGTGTAGGGCATGGAAACAGTATAAGCCTAGACCCAGTATTCTGGGTCTACTTGCTAGGCCTAGAACCTAGAGCTAGTCCATAATCACCTCTGACCCTCTGCCTCAAAGGTAAGGGTACCATGTAAACTGCTAAGTGTCATCAGAAATGCTGATATTCATAAGTGTTTGAATAAACAATAACATATTTAATGGATATTAGCAATAGTACATTTGCTCTCTCTAGGCCACAACGACACAATATCTACCTCAAAGATATTATGAATTAAAAGTGCTAATACATATATGACACTTGGAATAGTGACTTAAATACTGCTCATTATGTTCCATATATTGATCATCACACGATCATCAATGTTTCATCATTATTACATCCTCAGGGTAAATGGAACAAACTGGAAAAGAACCATAACTTACAAAAATCTCTGATCAGTGACCATGGATTAATATGACTATTTTTTCTTTTATAAATCTCTAGAAATTTTACAATCAGATTATGAGCATCTTTCAGAGAACAGTTTATCCTTCTGGTAAATAGCGGTATTGCTCAAAAAAAAAAAAAATTTGGAACACACTGTATTGAAAATGTCTTTATAATCTATAAATGAGGAAGCTATTTTTATTAATTTGTAATTATATCTTACTTTTAGAAGTTTAATTTGCAATACCCAACTTCATCATCTGCTTTATTTATCAAATTACTTATCTTATAAGGGATTATCTGCCCTATTTACCAAATTATAACTTATTTATTCTATATTACTTGTGATTGTTTTCAGAGTAAGAGTCATCATTTAAAGATGACAATCTGCCACTATTTCGGAGTTTATGACAGCTTCATTACAGAAAGGTTTTTTTTTTTTTTCATCTAGAGTAATTTAGGTAGAATTTATGTAGACTAAACTCTTGCCCTGCCATCTCATAATTTCATAATTTAGACAGGTTACTCAAAGACTATGATTTGATTTTTTTCTTCATGTGAAAATGGGAATAATTATACTTTCAATGTCATAGAATGAGATTAAATAATATCTATAGAAAATATAGAAGAGAACCTGTTCATAGTAAACACCATGTAATTGAATTGTAGCAACTTTGGTCATTCTGTTTTATTTTGGTCTTTCTCTAACATTGGACATCCTTCAAATTAAGAGCTATCTATACATGTGCAGCTAGATCTAAATCTAAATCTAGATTTAGTTGAAACTCTATGTCTACATTTGTAATATATAGAGAGAGACTGAGAGAGAGAGATTTATATTCTTTCTTTGATGAACAAGCATTCAATATGAATTTTTGATAGGTACCGGGATTATTAAGTTCCCTCAAAAATATCTGTCTAGGTCACATAGCCATTTGTTATACCTTATGCTTTCAGTTTTGCTTTCTGGAGACCTACTAACCTCTTAAAATTCTCTGGGCTGACTATCAACATTCCATCTACCTGTATTCCAGCAAACACAAGGGCATTATATTCAGCTTTTTAACTTTTATATTGGTTTACCTTGAGATTTTCTTTTGATTTTGTTACATGTTTCCCAAAGTGCATTATATATTCAGCTCATGCAGTAACATTTAAATAAATAGTGGATTTTTTTTTTCTCAAAAATGAACAAAGGAATTTTATTTGGAATTTTAACAATAAGAATTAGAACAAGTAATTGAAAATTACAGGACTATGAATCAATATACTTCTAATTCCCTCTAGTTCATAGACAGATATAAATGTCTCTAAAGATGAAAAAATAACAGAAACAGTAAATGCTGATTTAAAAAATCTTTAAGGGGCACCTGGGTGGCTCAGTGGGTTAAGCCTCTGCTTCAGCTCAGGTCATGATCTCAGGGTCCTGGGATCAAGCTCCACATCGGGCTCTCTGCTCAGCAGGGAACCTGATTCTCCCTCTCTCTCTGCCTGCTTCTCTGCCTACTTGTTATCTCTCTCTCTGTCAAATAAATAAAATCTTTAAAACAAATAAATTTAAAAAAATAAAAAAAATCTTTAAGTGGCTATGCATTGATTTGTTAACTATCACTTTTAAGTTAGTTTTGTGTTGTATCTTAAAATGTGGTTCTGCCATTGTCTTCACTCTTTTCTGGAATTTGTTTTAGATAAATATTAGAGTACTGCAATCTACCCCACAATTTACTCAAACTGCTTTATTACATTTATTATGCCTTCAATTCTCAGAGGTATATTCTGGATTAGTTCCTCAATATTAACTTCCAATTCATGAAATCTTTCTACAACAGTGTCTAGTCATTTAAAAATCTATTGTACTTCTTAAATTTCAATGAGTATATTTCTATCCCCAAGTTTTAGAAGTACTTTCTTTTCCTATTTCCCTACTTTTAATCCATTAATTTCTTGAATTTAGAATAAATGTGTATTATAATGTTACATAACAATTGTATGTCAAATAGAGAATCAATATTCTAAATGTTTTTGGCTGTCTCATAATCAGAAATTAGGAAATTAAGAAATTATACCTCTTTTCATTTGTAATTTAGGTTTTTAGATTGAAGTTCATCTGACTGAAAGGATTTTGTTCTATTTTTCTTTCTCTGTGATGATTCTTCCCAGTCCAGTGTTATTATGGTTAGTGCTATATAAACCTAATCTGAAGCTATAATGCCATTTTGGCACTTTTGCCCTCATGAAGTTACTATAGTCCCCCATATCTGCAGGAGATACATCCCCAAGCCCCCAGTGGATTCCAAAACCGAACCCTACATATACTATGCTTTTTCCTATATACACTTACTATGACAGAATTTAACTTATAAATTAGGGACAGTGAGAGATTAACTATACTAATAACACTTCTAACAATATGCTATAATAAAAGTTATGTGAATGTGTTTCTCTCCCTGAAAATATCTTGTACTATGCTTACCCTTCTTTGTGTGATGATGTGAGATGATACAATGCCTATATGATGAGATGAACTGAGGTGAATGACGCAGGCATTTTGATGTAGCGTTAGGCTACCACTGACCTTCCAACCATAGGTCGGAAGGAGGATCATCTGCTTCCAGACTATAGCTGACTGTGGGTAACTGAAACCATTGAAAATAAAACCACAGATAAGGGGGGCTACTAGGTTGAAAAATATCAATCTTGGGAAGATTCACTCTCTAAACCAATAAATACTTTTACTCAGTTACTAACTTCTTCAGGCTTATGGAAAGCTACAGGTTTATGGAAAGTTACAACTACACATGAAAATTGGTAACAGGGCTTGGCTTTTTTTAACCTAATTTCACTTGAAGCAGAACTCCTCATCAGGCCCTGTCTTCAAGCTCTGGGTCAGGTTTTGATCTCTTTCAATAGCTTTCAAATGCTCAGATAATTACACTATATGGAAGATGAGTTTCTTATTGCTAATGTCTGCATTGTTATAACTTTTTAGTTTTCTTGTTTCATATTTGATTTGTTGTTGTGTGTTTAGGATAAAGGAATCAAAGAAAGAAAACATATTATGAACAAAAGTATTGAGTATTATTCTAACATTTCTTTCAGGATAATCTAAGGAAGCTCACAAATACATGTGCATGGCCTTAAGATTTTATAATAAAAATTCATACAAGTTTTATTACAAGAAAATATGTTGTAGACCACTTGTCAGTTTATTATGGTATTAAAACTATCACTAAAAGTCTAACATTTATAAAGTATAATGGTGGACTGAACTAAGTCAATTATTCCATTAAAATTAGAAATGCTCTGAAGAACATAATAAAGGAGATTTCTATGAGTAAGTGTCAGACTGTAAATTATACTTATATTATAAAAACTTGGTATCCATTTTTTAAATATTATAAACAATTCTCAACCCTATTGTGATATAACAAACTAATAAATGTAAAAATTAGATGATACAAATTCAGAATAAAAAGTAAATTAGATAAGGAGTATAAAGGATGTTCATAATTGCGTGGGTGGCTCAGGGGTCAAGCAACTGCCTTCAGCTCAGGTCATGATCCTAGGATCCTGGGATCGAGTTCTGAGTCGAGCTCTCTGATCAGCAGGGAGTCTGCCTCTCCTTCCCTGCTCATGTTCACTTTCCTCTCTCTCTCTCTCTCGAAAATAAATAAATAAAATCTTAAAAAAAGAAAAAGGATGTTCATTTTTGAATGTTCACTGACACTTGCATATTACATGACATGATTCTTGCACAGGTAAGAAATTTAAGTTAGTGAATAAGAACTTGTTTCTGGAATTCAGCAGGCCTGGATATAAATCCTGGAGTTGAATATTCACTACCTGTGTGGCCTTGGCTCAGAAATGTAGCCATTTTTAACCTCAGTTTCCTTATTTGTAATGTGGGGATAGCAGTTATATCTACTTCCCGAGAGTATTGTGAGGGTTAAATAGAATCAAATATATAAAGCACATAACACTATGCCTGGCACAAGGTTTGAACAACACAAACAAATAAGTTATGTTGTGAAATGGAGCAAATCAACAATTTTATTCTCCTTTAATATAATGTAAATGTCTATTAGCATTCACATTTCTGAGTTATAATATATATATACATCTATCACTGACACCAGACCATGAGTTCATCAAGGAAAGACCATTTATGAATCTTCACTGCCCAATGCAGTGTCTGGTCAGATAAATAAATGAGTGGAAAGCGCAGACACATTCCTGTAGAGAGATCCTGAACAAATAACAACAATGGACATTTCCCATGAAGTCAAAATCACTATAGTACATTTTTTAGTGCAACAATGAAAAGCATTTTAAACTACAAAACTATCTGGGCACCTGGGTGGCTCAATCATTAAACGTCTCACTTAGGTTCAGGTCCTGGGATGGAACCCCACATTGGGCTCCATGCTCAGCGGGAACCCTGCTTCTCTCTCTCCCATCCCCTTGCTTGTGTTCACTCTTTCGCTGTGTGTCTCTCTGTCAAATAAATAAATAAAATCTTAAAAAAAAAATAAAGTACTAAACTATCAAAAGATCAAGGCTCTCCTGAAATGGAGTGTTAGGGTTAAATGCCTCTGAACCTTTAATATCTCAAAGCAATTGCTATAAACCTTAGGGCACTTCTGAGCTCTTCAAAGCTCTCAGAGATTGGGTACCAGTGATGATAATTTCATCCAAAGGTAAGGAGAATAATTTTTTCCTCACCATTTTCTTTTTTTTTTTTTTTCAAGCAGGTGAAAATGTGTGTGAAGTCTTTTTTTTTTTTTCTCACTTTCTCCTTCCTAGCAACTTGATTCTATACTGTCCTATCTTGAGTCATCTGAGCCCAAGTTCCAAATTCTATTTCTGCCTATTTGTTATACTCTTCACTGAAAAATCTTTGCTCAAATTGACTCTCTGAAATGCATGGCATAGGCAATTTTCATGGTAAGAAAATCAGTAGCAAATATAGCCTTCCCTCACTTCTCAGGCACAGCAGTTGCTGATGCTAATGGAGTTAGTCATTTGCTTATCACGGGCAAAATAGATTTCATATTGATTGGTTTGACTCAAGACTACGGTATTCCAATTAAGATTGCTAAAAGGAACCCTGAGTTAAAACAAGCAGCAATGCAGTGGCATACAGATATTTACATTCTGCTACAATTCACAAGCAATTCCACATGATAGTGTTTCGAGTTCATTCTCAACAAGACCTTACAGAAAAATGAAAGTAGACTTTAGATCCTTAAAACCACATTTGACTGCTATAATTTTCATTCTCACTTTAGAATCATTCATTTATCAGCCATGAGCCTACACCTAAATTTCACTTCTTCTTCTAAAAGCAATTGTGTTTTGCCAGGTACAATCCTCTAGAAACAACAATTAATACCCACAATAGCAAGCATTCAGTACAAGACTGTCTTCGAGCCAGCTCTGAAGTTCTCCTTCTACAGCTCCTTTTGTGTTTTCCACTATTAAATAATTTCACAGGGTTATAAGTACACAGACCATGCTATTGGGGTCACAAGACAGAAGAGGGCAATAAGCCACTATTTTTCACTTGAACTCATTTATATTTTGTCAAATATCAAGTTTAAACAGAATATTTTGTTCCTTGCTATAGGATGCTCTTTTTTTGTTTTCAATGAGTCAAAGAATATGTTTTAAGCGACCAAAATTAAAACAAAAAAGAACACATTTGGATGGAAGCATACACCTTAATTGAAACTACAATGCTATAATTTTGTTGTTTCGTGGTCCAGCTAGCAGGCTGTGGCCAACCCTTTGAATCCTCCAAATTCTCCAAAAAATCCCTGAGAGGCTGAGTCTTTTTCAGTCAAGTCTAATTTAACTATAACTATAGAGAGACAGCTGAAGACCGCCTACTCAGGTAAAGTGAAGACCTGAGGCAATTATGAAAGTGATTCAAGCAGAAAAATTTCCTGCTGAGGAAGAGATAATGTTTGCTTGAACTATTCAAATTGGCCATCTATAATAATTAAATTCATTAACTCTCTCTTTCACTTCACTTTGCCAGTGAAGACACAGATTTTTGCTATTCAAAATACACACACACAAGGCATCTCAAATATTTGTGAATTTTCAAAATAGTTTATTGACTACTTGTGAAATAGGTTCATAAGTTTAGTGAACAAAGGTTCCCAGAAAATTAGATGAGGGAATACCCAGAGGGAATAGTAAAGATGGGGAAAAGAAGGATAAACTATATCAATAAACTGATTCTCTAAGATGAATCCCTCCATCCAAGTGACCCTGCTGTACGTGAATCTTGTACACATGCACACGTGCACACACACACCCCATTATACATTTATCAGCCACTAGAAATGGATACATGAATTTTAAATGCATTTAATGATTTAATAATAACTATGGATGTAAAAAGAGTCCGTGATCCTTCAATTTTAAACGCAATAGATAGGCTCTTCAAGTACACAAAAATTGAAGGATAAAGTACTTACAAACTTCTTTAAATAAAAAAAATAAAACAGCCTCATTTATTTCCCCTGGCCTCTAGTCAAGTAGCTTCAGTTCTTGTCCTTATTATCCTATAGATATCACCATTCGCCCTCTCTTAAGGCTTCACTGTCACTGCAGCCACCCCCAGGGAACACATGACACCTGATTTTCTCCAGCTTTTTCCTCACCAACCACAACCATTGACATCATGTTTGCCTGCTTGGATGCCCTAATTTATGGCCAGGATATAGGGTTTAATGTACCTTGATTAGGAGGAAATAGGGATGAGCCCCTATCTGGAAATAAGTCTGGAAACATCTCATTTCAGGAAAGCCTTTGCTCTTTTGATAGCCCAGTTCTTTAAAATGCCTTTCATTGTTATACCGAAAAAAATGGCCTATGGTGATTTTGACAGCATAGGAAATGTCCAATGTTGTTTTCTATCTGGGAGCTCTCTATAGGAATGTGTCATTCCAGGGCTAGAGAAGGCACGGTGGATGACCATCAGGCTCATTACTCATACAAAAGGGGTAGGCTTAATACCTTCAGATACGGGGGGAACTATATCAGAGGTCATTCTAGTCTGTTTAAAAGAGATTTGGGGGCAGAAACTCAAAATGGTGTTTACAGTACTACAAAAGATATCAGCGCTTTGAAAGTCAGTTTGGGTCAGTTGGTATACAGGCCAGTTCACAACCGGTGATTCAACAGGGACCTACCAGCTATGACAACACTCAGCAATATGGAATGAATTTTCCAAAGGTGCACATGGTAGTAATCAACAGGCATATACATGTGTTGCTAACTGTGGCTCTTACCTACTATTGGTATCTAGTGACAATGGGATATTGTCAATAAGGCTTTCAAGGTATACGTGGATGTCTGTTTTGCATAATTGCTCTTTCAACTGGATGTTATCATCCATAAAATAGTTATTTTAAAGCAGAAATGACTGCAGCATAGCGGTATTCAAGTTCACTTTTTTGCTATTTAAGTTGGATATATTTTTATATTCCTGAAAATATATATATATTTTTTTCACTAGACAGCACAG